AAGACCCAACTGTCTGAAGCTGTCAATGCTTCCAAGCCTTGCCCCAGGTGCTGGTTGCACAGCTCCCATGAGAGGCAGTGTGCTGGCTCTGCAGAGCAGGGGGCTACAAATCCTGTCAGCCCCCTCCTCACCACACCTCCCCTTACTCCTGGCCAGGTAAGGGGAAAGACCCTCTACCTGAAGTGGCCAGGCTTTGTTTAGGAGGGGGAGCTGCATGGCAGCAGGGAGCTGGAGAGAAGCCCAAGGAACTGTGGACAGCCACACGTGGAACAGACTGTGACCGTAGACGTCATGGGTGGGTGCAGGTCTATGTGGGACATATGTGGGAGTGGCAGTGGCTGGGCAGGGAGACAGTGTAGAGAGGCCTCAATAAGAGACACTAACTGAGCCTGGCCTGGAAACCTGCAAGCTCCAGTTTGCTGGAGTAGAGACTGGACTGGAGAGGGCACCATAAGCAGTGGGCTAGAAGAGCCCTGGCTCTGGACTGGACTGGCCAGGGACCCCAACAGGAACCTCTATTACACACCTTGAACTGTAACTGCTTAAGCCTCTATACCTAGGGTATCTGCATCCCTCGTAAAACTACCCCTTCACTCAGCCATGTGTCTGAGTGGTTACTGGGACCCAGGGCCTGCAGCTGAGCCAATCTCCGGCAACCTCATGAGTGCAGCTGGCCTGTAGTAGGCTGCCTGGCTGTCTACGGCGCGGGATTGGTGGGAGAAGTCAGTAGACTGGCTCTTATGCCCAGCAGAAGCAGCAGCAGTTCAGCAGCTACTCAAAGCATTCGCCTCCAATAGCTCTTGTGCCTGCTCTTCCCAGCCTTGCTGCTGCCGTGGCCCCAGCCTTGTCTCGCTCCAGGTACTGCAGCTCTGACCCTGGGCTGCAATTCCTCCCTCCCTCCCGACTCCTGCCCTAACCACTAGGCCCTAGTCCTGCTCCCATCACTAAGCCCAACCACCCACGTTCCGGTCACTGACAGCCCAATATAAACAATAGGAGAATTAGAGCTGAGGCAGAGAGTGCAGAACCTACAGAGGCCAATATCTCTCTAACAGAGCTAGCCAGAGTCCTACAGACCGTGCCGGCCCTGGGTGCTACCCGGCAGGCGCAGAATGCAGTCCTTCAAGCTCAAGCCACACTGCCTTTAGCTCTGACCTGTAAGTCTAAGCTCCCCCATCTGATAAATTCAATGGCCATCACAAATTTCATGGGTTCCTAAATCAATGCTATGCATCCGAAGAAGTGGGCTGCAGCCCACGAAAGCTTATGCTGAAATAAATGTGTTAGTCTCTAAGGTGCCACAAGTACTCCTGTTCTTTTTGCGGATACAGACTAACACGGCTGCTACTTTGCAATAAATCAATGTTGGCTCCTATTTCTGATACGCTCAGAGATCGGGGTTGGACTAGGTGACCTGAGGTCTCAGTTCCAACCCTGTGATTCTATGTACCCCACTGACCAACCCAGAGTGGGACAGATTATTAGCCTGCTTACTGGGGAGGCCCTAGCTTGGCATCGCCAATCCTGAAACCATTCTGGGACAATGTAAGGACTTCATTCAAGCTACGGCGGTGATCTTCAAGTTTGCAGCTGAAGCTGCACTTCGGGTGTTAGCAGGGATGCCAGCCAGCTGCTAGAGTGCCAATGCTTGGCAGCAGACACTGAGTGCAATGAGGCTGACCAGAATGATCATTTCCAGCCTGGCCTAAAATGACTATTAACCAGATGGGTTAGTCGACCTATGCATCAAGATCAATAGACTGCCTGACCAAATTCTGCCAAGAAAAAAAATATAGTCCTCCCAGCATCCACCAGCCCTGCTGGCTCCAGCCCCCCCCTCACCAGTCCTTTCTCCAGTGCCCAAACCCATGCAAATTGATCAGGTCTGGCCCTGCCTCTCCAGCGTGGAGAACAACTGAGTTCCATAAAGACACAGTGGAATTCTTGGGATACATTGTCTTGCACGAGAGACTCACCATGGACCCATGTCAGGTGGCAGCAATATCCAACTGGGCCATGCCTAAGCAGGATGCAGCAATTCCTGGGGTTTGCCAGTTTCTACAGGCAATTTATTAAAGGATTCTCTAGCCTGGCAGCATGGTTAATGGTGCTCATGTAAAAGGGAGCCCCGGTTTGTCTGGTGCAGAGGCTCAGTCGGCCTTTGATCGACAGAAGTTCACCTCAGCACTCATCCTGATTCACCCAGATTCCATTAAACAATTTACAATCGAGGCCCACACCTCAAACTTTGCCATAGGTCAACAAGCCCCCCACCTCTACTCCACCCTTGTGCCTTTTATTCACAGAAGTTAACCCTGGCAGAAAAAAGCTATGATAGTCAGAACAAGGAGCTATTGGCTATCAAGGCAACTTTCAAGGAGTGGCACGACCCCCTAGAAGGAGCCTGATTTCCCATCCAAGTCCTGATGGGCCACAAGAACCTGGAGTACCTACAGACTGCTAGATGCTTTAACCAATGTCAATCAATTCTTTGTCTGTGTTCGTGTGCCCACCTCTAGCAGCTTTTCAGATGAACAGAAGTCATTCAACCCTTTCCTGGTTCTGCCAGCCTAGCCCATCTTCACAGGTAATGATATTTTGTCCCAAACTAAAGAGTAAAAGAAAAGTCAGAATGTCCATATTATCCACAGTCTCCCAGCCCCTTGAAAGCCATGCAGCCCCGAGAGTTGCCAGGATACTGCATGAGACAGGCCCTCAGGAACCCCAGGCTGCTATGATGTCACTGCTGCTATTCTGATAGAAATATCAATATAATTGCCACTTGAGAAGTTGGGGAGTTCTTCTGGGGACTCCCCACTGATTCCTTGTGTGCCCCTTGCTAACATAAACGGGGTTCCCAGTGGTGATCCTCAGACCCGTGGAGCCTGACCAGCTGTTTTGCAGAGATGCAGAGCCAGAGGACAAGCCATTAAGAATTGTGTGACAATGCTTCGATGCAGCCACAGTGACAATCAAATCACTAATCTAGCTCCAGTTATTGGTTGGGTAGTGCTTTAGCTGAGAACCAGGGGAGTTGCTAGGCCAACTCTGCCTTTGAATGTAACATACTCAGGTCTGATTCCTGGATCACAATAGAAACTAGAAAGCCAGGACTTCAAGAAAAATGCTGCTGTATAGCGATAGGGATGTACCATGGAAGCAACCAGATCCTAGTATCAGAGGGGTAGCTGTGTTAGTCTGAATCTGTAAAAAGCAACAGAGGGTCCTGTGGCACCTTTGAGACTAACAGAAGTATTGGGAGCATAAGCTTCCGTGGGTCAGAACCTCACTTCTTCAGATGCAAGTCTTCACTTATGCTCCCAGTACTTCTGTTAGTCTCAAAGGTGCCACAGGACCCTCTGTTGCTTTTAACCAGATCCTAGTTGGTTACTGCAAAATACCAACTCATTTTGGGAGCCAGTTGCTGCCTATTGTCTTGGTTCTTAACCCTTCACATGCCAAGTGTACAAAGAAAGGCAGATACAAATGTGAAGAAAGACGCTAATGAAACACATGGTGCCTCAGACAATGTCTAGAAATGGGAGACAGAGGCTGCTCCAGCTTTCTGCCTCAATGTGCAGAGAAGAAACAGTTACTAATCTAAACACTATCATCCTCCCACTCCTAGTCTAGTCCAGGGTGGGGCAGTGGACCACGAAACCAGGACCTCTCAGTCCTGCTTCTCTAAGAGGAGGGTCACAATGAACATCCAACTCTCTAGGTAAAGAAAGGGTTAAGTCTTTGTTTTCTCTGTAGCTTAAGTTGGCTCTTTTTCCATCCCCCGCTGCTGAGAGGTTTGTCTTCCAGTCTTGACCTTTTTAAAGGCTCAATCTGAACCCTGCTCCCTGGTGTCACATGATTGTCTCGCTGCGGTGCTTGTGGGTGTTCGCCTGGTAGATCAGGTGGTAGGGCTTCTCATTCTCCTCAATCACAGAATTCCCAAGCTCGCAGTCCTGTGCGTCCAGCTCATGCCGAGACAGGTGCTCCACAATCCCGGCTCCCAGGGAGTCCCCCAGCACATTGGTGGTGGTTCTCAGACGGTCCCTGGAAAGCAGCAGAGAAGAGTGACCAGGAAAAACGGGATGAGTCTTTCAGGGAAATGTCATCACTTTTTGGTACCAGAGCAGGCTGAAAAAGTCAGAATTTCAACAAAAAAGGGACACATTTTCCACAAACATTTTCAGGAAAATGTTCCCCATTTTTCAAGCAGCTCTAGTGCCTGGTGTGTTAGTAAACGGATCAAAAAGAAATGTGTGCTGAAGATCTGCCTTAGGAAGATCTAGGCAACTGTGGAATGACCCCCCTGACGTCCAGTTTGACTCAGAAGTGATTTTAAACTGATTCCTTCTATTCAACTCATCTGCTCCCTCCTTTCACTTCCCTGGAATGTCAATAGGACCAGTATAGTTCCACTGGTTTCAAAGGAATTGCTCTCAGTTTACAACTGGTGAGACGAAGATCAGGCTCTGTGGATCGCTCTCAGTTTTGCTGCCTTTAGTGTCTCAAATAACGTTTTTCCATTTGGCAGAGCCAGCTGGGCTGAGACAGAGTGAACTGCAGTCTGGCACTTCCCATCACTTCACACTTGTGCAATCCCGCTCCCAGCACCAGGGGCTGCACAGCTCTCCTGGAGGGGTAATTTGGCCTGCAGAACCTTTTCTACTGGTGATAGTGCAGGGCCCAGGGCTGGCAGCTGGCTTTGGATTTGGACTCACTGAAAGACAAACAAGGACACCCCCCTGCCAAGCTGTTTCTGTGCAGAACTGTGCTTTAAAACGAGCCTGAACAAAACCAAACAAACAAACTGTCCCCACCAAGAGTTTGACATAATCTGATTACAAATCATTTCCCACCAAATTGCTCTGGTGTCTTTGCTGGTCACTTATGTCATCATTCGACTACTTGTTTAGACACACAAAAAAGGTCATTGTGAACTAGTCAAGGTGGCCACACACAAAACACACCTGACACAAAACCATGGAGTGGGGAGTGAAGCCACGGACTGGTACACTCCCTCTACACCCGCTGGCACGCCTGTGACTGCCACACCTGGGACGGCAGCCGCCCACCCCACATGCACTCTTGCCAGCAGGACCTGTTTCTTCACCTTGCGCTTCCACAGCTCACTGGAGTATATCCAGGTTTACTCCTCCAGTTCAGCTGACTGTGGGAGGCACATCTAAGCAGAAGTCATTTCTCCTTGAACTTGTAACTCTTATGACCCCAAACAAACCCCCTTCTTGGCCTCTGTGTTGGTGACAATCAGACTGTCCCTGCTAATGCTGGTGGGTACCTGTTTGTGCTCTACGATGCCCAGCTAGCCTAACATCAGTTCCGGAATGAAAGGGATGAAAACGGATTCTTGACAAGTAGAGGCCCAGCTGGTGGATCGAGCCTGTGTCATGTTCTGACTTGACTACATTTTGCTATAGAGACGACACTCTATGTTACACATGTTGAAAAATGTGGGGGCTGGAATCCCTCTGGGGACATTTAAGGCTGTGCCATGTGGCGTATGGTAATTGTGGTAGTGAAAAGGTGTGTGTCTGTGGATGGAGTAGAGGGCGCATACTGCTAGGTTGTTAACTTTTCATTTCCTTGCCTTTGTGGTTTGTCAGGTAACTTGCATGTGTGGCAGCTGGAACTGCTTCCCAGAGGGGTTTGTGTGCAAATTGCCTCGGATTTGGAATGTTTAAGCACCTGCGTGACATGAGTGGGCCTAGCATTGTGCGAGGGCAGGGGCTCAGAGGGGACAGGGAGGGGTGCTGGGCCTGTGCACATAGGAGGGGGGATGGAGCTTTGCTGGGGGATGACCCCTGAACAGTGCTAACACAGCTCTTAGTGCCTGCTACAGACACCCTAGCACCAGCCTACGCCCTCTCTTGCTCTAACCTATCCCTGTGAAGCAGTGAGCAGAAAACGCTTCAGCATCAGTTAACTGAGTGAGTTACTAAAGGGCCCCAAGGAAAGGAACAGAGGCAGGCTGCTGCAGCATGACCTCTAGCCATGAGGGGGCGCTCATACACAGTGCAATCATTTAAACACAACAGCCAACATCATTTCACCAGCTCCCTATTTTCCTTCGCCTTCCTCAGCCAAACTCCAGGCCTGAGACCCTTAGCCAGCCTCCATCCCCTGCTCTGTGTTGCAGGGATGCACTTTCTGGCACTCACGCATTGTCATCTACCTGCAGCTCTGGTCAATTTCCTTCTTACCAACACAGTCTTTTTAGACTTGGGAGCTGCTCTTTCAGTCTATTCACTTGTTAATTTTTAATGCCCACAGTGAGTGTGATCCGCTTCAGTCTACATCACAACATGCAGAATACACAAATATTTCTGCTGTCTGCCCTGGCCACATTCCAGCCTGGCGGAACCTTCCCAAAAGTGGGGGAGCAGGGTCCCCCGCTCGCGCCATGGTCCCGCTCCCGGCCAAGCCAGAGCCCAGAGCAGGCCAGAAGCCGCAGTCCCTCCACCCTGCCCGGGATGAGGGGGCCGAGAACAGCCCTGGTCCATGTTCCTGCCTTGTGGGCCCCTGCCCAGGGCAAGTGGAGGATTCGTGGCTCCCCTCAGCTGCCCGCATGGTTCTTACCCTGACGCGGCTCTTGCCAGGGGCTGGGGCCTTGGAGCCGCAGCCCAGCCATCGTAAGAGCTGCGTGGCCAGACAGCTATGAGGAGCCGCGGACCCTCCACCTGCCCTGGGCAGGGGGCCAAGGAACGGGGACACGGGCCAGGGGCTTCTCTTGGCCTCCCCACCCTGGGCTCCAGCTGCCAGCCTGGCTGGGGGCGGGGCCTCGGGGGGAAGAACAGGGGCAGGATTGGAGGCGGGGGTGGGACTAACCTGTCCACTTTCAAAAAGTGGGAGGGCCATGACCCCCGGCCCTCCCTATTCCAACACCACACTGCTGTCCCTGGTGGGCCCTTTGTCTCCTTGAGACACGAGCCCTCCCCATGCTCCCTGGGTGCAGTACTGCCCCAGTGCAGGCCTGCGCCTTTTGGGGACAACCTGGCCCTGAAGCTTTAGGAGGTCTTTAGTTTAGAGCAAATGGAGCCTACTCTGCTCAGTGACCTGGCTGCTCTGAGCATGGTCACTGGTGCCTGTAGTCTCTGGGATATGTGCTGAGGAGCCCTGGCTGGACCCCACATGTACAGAAGTAGGTTGCAATCCTAGTGATACAAGGTGGTCCTAGAGCCTTCACTGTGCTGCTCGGAACAGGGGCTGAGCACAGCAAACTCCCGCGTGCAGCAGGGAGGAACCGGCTCTGCAGCTGGAGCAGTGCTTGCCACTGTGCAGGGAACTTACAGAAACCAGTCCACCGCAATGATTAGTGTGATGTCCTCAGTTGGCAGCCCCACCGATGTCAGCACAATCATCATGGTCACCAGGCCTGCCTGGGGGATGCCTGCTGCTCCAATGCTGGCTGCAGTGGCAGTGATGCTGGGGAGGACAGGAAAGCACAGTGATCAGCAGGAGAAAGAAAGGTGTGGACCATGCCCTGCAAAGGGGCAGGTCTGCATTTAATCAGTGCCCACTTCTGCTCCCACTGAAGCCACCGAGATCTTTGCCTTTGGCATCAATGGAGCAAGTTCAAGCCCCAAATTTGGTTCCACACTTATTTTTCTTGTATTCTATTTTTTAATTGCACACAAAAAAACTATATTAAAACGTTAAGGTTGCAAAGTCACACACTGCAAAGGTAGGAAATGGCAGATCTCTGGTGGCCTGTGCAAGCCTAGCGCTGCCCCCTTGTGTCTAGGCATTATGATACATTCATTAATTCCATAACCACACACTATGTTTCCACAGGATTGCACCTCATTCAGTGCAAAGGACAGACAATGCTCGGTGAAGGAGGTAGCTTGTTCAGTATTCCTCAGTCAGTGTGTAGCCCCTGCCTTATTTACTGCCACCATCCAAACCCTGCACTGCATGTGTGGTGAGGAGTCTGTAAGTACTTCTATGAGAAGAAAATATATAATGCTAGAGGGTTCTTCAACCTAGTGGACAAAGGTAGAAAAAAATCCAATGGCTGGAAGTGAGGAACAATTTTTATTAATGAGTGTAACTAACCATGGGAACAACTTACCAAGGAACATAGTGGATTAGCTGTTACTTGCAGTCTTTAAATCAAGATTGGGCATCTTTCTAAAAGATCTGCTCTAGTTCTCCCAGAAACTATGGCTAGAGTTATGGAGGAGGTCAGAACTGATGATCAAAACGGACCCCTCTGACCTTATGTCTATGAATCTATAAGATTAAAGAGCTCTCTGCTATCAGAAATCTTCTCACCGGGTTGGAACGTATAGACTGATCAAGTCACCTCTGACCCTTCTCTGATAAGCTAAATATATTGATGCTCTCACTGCAAGGTAGGTTCTCCAGACCTTGAATCATTCTTGTAACTCTGTTCTGAGCCCTCTCCAATTTTTCAACATCCTTTTTGAGGCATGGAGGCCAGAACTGGACACAGTATCCAGTAAAGGTCTCATCAAGAACATAAGAACGGCCATACTGGGCCAGACCAAAAGTAGGGTGGATGGCGCACAAGCCTACCTAGCCCCAGAGTGCCAGGAGAGCACATGGGCAGCCCCCCAGCCCTGGCTGGAGCCCAGGGGGACTGGAGGAACTGCACACTGCATGGCGGTGAACAGGAGGGGAGAGGGCCTGGGCAGGGAGGAGCGTGGGCAGGTCCACGCCTGGCTGTTTGGGGAGGCACAGCCTCCCCAGCCAATGGGATGCATGGGCTGGAGGAAATTAAGCAATGGGCTGGATCTGGCCAACAGGCTGTAGGTTCCCCACCCCTGTTCTATGGCATGGGGCAGCCACAGGTGTCTAATGGCAGTATAGACATACCCGAAAGGGTCTCAAGTTTTAAGGCAGGCCCTGCAGGGAAGCAGTTTCCCTGGCTTTGGGTTATGATTCCAGAGTGAGAAATGGCTCAGAAGGGACTTATGGACAGAGACTGGTCAGCAGCTGGAAAGATCTGGGATATAAACATGCAGCCTGTAGAGGGGCTGGAACTATGACCTTTGGTGCGGAGTTCAAACTCCACAAAGTGCAGGACTGCTCAGATCCTGGTGCTATCTCATCCCTTTTTACAAACAAGAGCCACAGCACAATCCACCCAAGCCGGGACTGAATGGAACAACCTAGCCCAGGGGAGTCAAACTCCCAGCCCCTGCCATGGGGTGAAGAACCCTCCTGCAAACTTTGAGAGAGGCAGGAGTTCTCCTATGTGCCAATTGAGTCCAGCACCGGTTCACAGAGCCAGTGTCACCCAAAGAGGCAGGTAGCAGGATTAATAAATTCAGTGTATCACAAAGGTGCTCAAATCCCATCAGCTGCAGTTTCAACAGCTCTCTGGCCTCGGTCACCAAGCAGGCCCCTGCCATCCCCGTGGGCAGTGACTAGTCGGGCATGCAGCACAGTGCACACTTGCAGTGGCCATGAACCTGGGCTGCTTCCTGAATCCATACTCTGGTCTACGGTGTCCCAGCAGCAGCATGTGCCCTCCCCTGCACTCACCCATTTCAAAGGGAGATTTCTGGGCTCTGAGGGATGGGGCAGCCAGCTCCTCCCCTCTGTTCATCTCCAGACAATCAGGGCACCTCATTACTATAGGGACTGCATTAGGAACATGGTGGAGATGGACAGAATGGGGAAAGGGATGAGGTAGGTGGGGTCTCTGTGGTGGGGCCCTCTCTAGACTGAATTTGTTGTTTCCCCCTCTTCTCAGTCCCTTTTGGAAGCAGACTAGGTGCCTGATTCTTTTGGGGTCAGCCGTCAAGTCCTGGCAGTCCCCCGATGCCAGACTCCCTCTCAGTGGCACAGATTCTTGGGCCCAGTCACCTGATTGTGATGATTTGCCCGAAGTCGAGCTCGTAGTTGTTGACTTGTGCGATGAAGATGGCTGCCAGGGCCTCATATAGAGCCGTGCCATCCATGTTAATGGTCGCGCCTACAGGCAGAACGAACCTGGTGATGCGCCTGTCCACCCCGTTGTTTTCTTCTAAGCACCTGAATGTAATGGGGAGCGTGGCCGAGCTGAAAGGAAACCCCAAACACCATGAAAAAGCCACACCCAACCTCTGCACCAGGGAGTGGGCTCTGGCCGAAGGAGTTTTGTGACCCCACTCCCTCAGCAATAGGCCCTGAAGGCTACTGGAGCCTACACTGGGGGGAAGTACCAAGGGCTTGGCCCCTGGCATGGTGCCTCCAAGAACCTCTGTATTGTAGAGTGAGGCACAAAAGTGGAAAGGGACTTGCCCAAGGTGACATGGAGAGTTAAGCTCAGAGCCAAGAACAGAACCCAAGTTTCCTGACTCCCAGAGCTCTAACCAGTAGACCATGCCGCCTTCCTCTAGGCAATAGCAAAGGCCACGCACTCCAGCATGCTTGGCCCTTCCCTGGTTTGTTATTATCCCACATCCGTGCTTTCTTGCCCTGCAAGGTGTAGAGGGGGAGGTCAGAAGTGGCTGCTGGGATGGGGTGCAGGCTGAGTGGGTCTCTTGATAGTATCATGCACATTGCAGCTGCCTGAGAGTGTCAGGACTCCCAGCTCTGCTGCTGGCTGGGAGTGATGGTGTCAGGCCAGGAGCGGGCCTAGCAGTGGGTTCCACAGAAAGCTGTTTGTTCTGCAGGAGGGTGGCACCATCCTGAGCTTCTTTGCACCAGTCTTAGACAAGGGTCTTGAGGACCTTCTCCCCAATCACTGAGAAAGACTAGACAGCCTTGTCTTGTGTGAGTGTGAGAGCACATGTGAGTGTGTGTGTGAGTGCGTGTGTATGAGAGCATGTGTGAGTGCATGATTGTGTGTGAATGAATGTATGTGAGTGTGTATGCGTGAGAACATGTGAGTGAGAGCATGTGTGAGTGCATGCGTGTGAGAGCACATGTGAGATTGTGTGTGAGAGTGAGAGTGCGTTTGAGAGAGCATGTGTGAATGTGCATGTGTGAGAGCATGTGTGTGAGTGCATGTGCGCATGTGCGTGAGGGCACATGTGAGTGTGTGTGAGCGTTTGTGTGTGTTACTACGTGTCTATAAGAGTGCATGTGCGTGTGTGTGTGAGCACGTGAGTGTGTGTGTGAGTGACACGCTGAGAGTCTCCCCCAGGCCAGGCCAGCACTATGTGAGTTTGGGCCCTGAGCTCAGGCATGCAGTCTGGGGCCAGCAGCTAAGTCGCCACCACTTTCCTTCCCAGACAGGTACGTAAGCCCCCTTAGAGGGCTGGGACATTCACTAATGCACGTAGATGGAGGCAGCATGTCCTCATGATCACAGCCCCAATCCAGGGCCCAAGGAAGGCCATGGGACTTTGCTGGGCTTGGGACTGGGTTCTAGGGCAAGAAGCTGGGACTCCCACACCATGGCCTGGTGGTGGCAAGAGTTCAGCATCCACTGAGAATGACGGGAGCTTCTGAGCATGTGTCCCATCATGTCTAATTAGCTCCCCGGCAATTCTACCCATGGGGGAGGGCTAACTTTCTAATTGCACAAAACCGAACACCCCTGCCATGCCTCTTCCCTGCCCCTCCCCTGAGGCCTGCCCATTCTCTGAGGCGCTGCCCCCCACTCAATCCAGCCCCCCTTCCTCCATTGCTCATTCTCCCCCACCCTCACTCACTTTCACTGGGCTGGGGCAAGGAGTTGGACTGTGGGAGGGGATATGGGCTCTGGGCTGGGGGGTGTGGGCTCCAGGGTGGGGCCAGAAATGATGGGTCTCTGGGCTGGGGTAGGGGTGCAGGAGGGGGTGCAGGGTGCAGACTCTGGGAGGGAGGAAGGGTGTGGGAGAGGGTTCCAGGCTGGGACAGCGGGTTTTGGCTCCAGCCAGGCAGCACTTACCTCAGATGGCTCCCAGTCAGTGGCGCAGTGGGCCTAAGGCAGGCTCTCTGCCTGCCATGGCTCCATGCTGCTCCCGGAAGCGGCCGGCATATCTGGCCCCTAGGCGGAGGTGCAGCCAGGCGGCTCTGCACGGCGCACGCTGCTTGCATCCACAGGCGCCGCCCCTGCAGCTCCCATTGGTGTGGTTCCTGGCCAACGGGAGCTGCGGAGCTGGTGCTCGGGGTGAGGGCAGTGCGCGGAGCTTCCCTGATCACCCCTGTGCCTAGGGGCTGCAGGGACATGCCAGCTGCTTACGGGAGCTGTGCAGAGCCTACCTTAGCCCCGCTGTGTCACTGACCGGACTTTTAACAGCCTGGGCTGCAGTGCTGACCGGAGCCACTAGGGTCCCTTTTCGACCAGGAATTCCGGATGCCTGGCAATCCTACCCATGGGCTGCAGCGCCCCTGCCCAGCGCAGTCTGCCTGGGAAGCAGCATACCTTGAAGAGGTGCCCAATGCGGTGATGAGGGCCTGCAGAAGGCCTGCGATGAACACCCATGGGTTCTTGTGGGTGACGATGAAGTACAGCAGAGGCAGGACACACAGGGAGTGTATGAGCAGCCCCACGATGACGGTGAGCGTGTACATTCCCAGCTGGCCCCCCATCACTGCTAAGTCGTCCATCTCCAGAATCTTGCCAGCGATTAAGAATAGGATCCCGACTGGGGCATACCTGTCACGGGACACAGGGACTAGGGCTTAGAACTGGCCTCCAGACTCGCACATAACTGTATCAGCTCCCCTGCTCCGGACAGAGTCACAGGAGGTTGGGGCACCCAAAGACACAGGCCACTCACGGAGTTGCCAGATGGGGCTATGGCTGCCCACTCCTGGAAGCTGCAGGGAGAGCAGAGAGCTGCCTGTGGATTCAAATGACCAAGCAATGTCTGTTTGTCTGTCAGTGGCCTCAGTTCCCTGCTGACTGCACTGGCTGGGGCACTGGGTGAGATTGCTGCTCCACGGAAATCCACCCCTCCATGACAGCACAGGCCTCTGCATGACGGGCTCCCCAAATCCTTTTCTGTCCCCTCCCAGCCAGGCCCCTCCACCCAGAAGGTAGCATTAACTCGGGGCGAGATGCAGGCAGAAGCATCATGGAAACACTGGCTATGCAGATATTTTCATGTAAACACTTCTTGAAATATCAGTGGGACTCAGAGGAGCAAATGTTGCTAACGCTGCTGAACTTGGGTCCAAGCAGAGAAGTAAAAGGAGGGACTGGTCAGGAAACATTTTATCTGAATTATGTTTGCATCAACCCTTACAACTCTCCTGCGTTGGACCCTGCCCTCTCTGCTCCTCCATTCCCGTCTCACCCTACAGTGCTTCCTAGCTAGGGCTCCCAGCCCTGATCCCATCCCACGAGCACAGGGCTCCCAGGTCCCATCCCATCCTGGCAGCGCAGGGCTCCCATCTCATGAGCGCAGGGCTCCTGGCTTTGATCCGTCTTGTGAGTGCAGGACTGCCTGCCAGCAGGAGGTGCCCTAGCCCTGAGATGGAAGAGATCACAGGAAGGTGAAGTTAGGGAAGGATTAGACAAGAGAGAACCATGGCTCCATGGACACACCCTTCAGGTTCTCAGGGTCCCTCTCAGGACTCCTGGCTCCCACTTAGAGCTCAGACTGTGGCTTTGAGGCTTACACTCATGGCTCACACTCATGACTCAGGGCTCACCCCAGGGGCTCCTAGTCAAACGTTCACATTCAAGAGGCTCAGGGCTCACACTCAGCCGTGGGAAGTTTGTAAAAAGTTCAGGCATCTTGCTTTCCTCTGCCCCTCCCGGAATCAGCATGAAAGCACATTCCCAGCAGGAGGCAGCAGCTAGGGCTCCCCGGAGGAAGCCTGTCCTTCGGAGATTTTGACCTGATTTGGATAGTTTTAGGGGCTTGTCTGCCCCAATGCCCCTTGGCAACTCCCTTTGCCATAGCTCTCCCCTACTCACCCTGGCCCTTGCATAGTAGAAATCTCCTGCAACTCAGGTTGCAGTCATTGAATGTGCCCTTTCCTTCAGCTGGGCATGTATGAGAGCAAAGCATTTCAAAGCCAAATGACTGATGTCAGTGATCAGAGGAGGGAGTTATTGGTTCTAGCCCCGCATGAGAAGAACGGGCTCCTCACAAGCTGCATGCACTAGCTTGACTCTGTGCATTCCTGTTTAAGGACATGGCTCAGTGTTGCAGGTGCTGCAAGGAGCCTTCCCTTCTGAATCACTGTGATGGTCCCAATGCAGTGGGCAAGTGGCTATTTCCCAACAAAACCATCACACAAAATAGTCTCAGCAGAGAGACCAGGCCTTCCAGTCCAGCACATTCCATTAATCCAGGGGAAAGGGAAAACCCCACATCCCACCTGTGAAAGGAAACACTGCTCTTAATCCTTCCATGCAAAGCTGTCACAGCACTGAACAGATGGTCAACCTGAGCCACACAGAGGTTGTGATTTGCCCAGCATCACAGAGTGACCCAGTTGCTGAGAGGAAGATAAGAACCAGGAGTCCTGACTCCAGAGTTGGCTTTAGAGCAACATTTTTGGTGGGTCCATGAGTTTGGGGTCCTGAATTTTGTAGGACAGGCCTGCCTCCTTCAATCTCCATTCTCCAACAGTCTGAGGGTCCCTTCCCCACAAAATACACACCAGCCGAGGTGCCCTGAGCTAGGAGCCAGAAGTTCAAGGCTCAGAATCTCCAGTCAATGCGGTCACCTATTCATAGCTTCCAAGGCCAGAAGAGACCATTGTGATCATCTAGTCTGACTTCCTGTAGAGCACTGGCCAAAGAACAGCCCCAGGAGAACTCCTAGAGCAGACCCCTTAGAAAAAAACCAATCTTGATTTTAAAATTGTTTATGATAGAGAATCCACCACACCCCATAGTAAATTGTTCCAATGGTTAATTACTCTCACCATTAAAAATGTGAGCCCCATTCAGATTGAAAATAGGGCAATCTTCAATGTCCAGCCATTGGATAGTGTTAGACCTTCTGTACTCAACTGAAAAGCCCATTATCAAATATTTGTTTCCTATGTAGGTATTTAGAGTGTAATCAAGTTGCACCGTAACCTTTTGTTTGTTATAATAGACTGAGCTCCTTGAGTCTATCACTACAAGGCAGGTTCTCTTATCCTTTAATCATTCTAATGACTTTTCTCTGAACCCGCTCCAATTTACCAACATCCTTCTTGAATTGTGGGCACCAGAACTGAACACGGGATTCCAGCAACAGTCACACCCATGCCAATACAGAGGTAAAATAACCTCTCTACTCCTACTCGAGATTTCCCTTGCTTATGCACCTAAGGATTGCATTAGCCCTTTTGAGCACAGCGTCGCACTGGGAGCTGATTGTCCACCTCTACCATGACTCCCAAATCTTTTTCAGAGTCACTGCTTCCCAGGATAGTATTCTCCATCCTGGAAGGATGACCTCCATTCTTTGTTCCCAGATGTACACATACACATTTTGCTGTATTAAAAGTATACTTTGCTTGCTCCCAGCTTCCCAAGCGATCCAGATCTGACCTCTTCAGTATTTACCACTCCCCCAATTTTTGGGTCATTTGCAAACTTTATCATCAATGATTTTATGTCTTCTTTCAGGTTATTGATAAGAATGTTAAGTAGCGTTGGGCCAAGAACTGATTCCTGTGGACCCCCACTAGAAACACACCTACTCAATGATTCCCCATTTACAGTGACATTTTGAGACCCATCAGTTAGTCAGTTTTTAATCTATTTAATGTGTACTGTGTTCATTTTACAACTATCTCGATTTTTAATAAAAGTGTCCTTTGTTAACCAATATGGCCTCTTCCTTGACTGGGGAATTGTTGCTTTTGGGGCAACTAGAGCTATGTTTACACTAGCACTTTTATCGGTAAAACTTTGAATCAGGGGTATGAAAAAACACGCCCCAATAGACATAAGTTTCACAGACAAAAGCGCCGGTGTGGGCAGCACTATGTTGGCGGGAGACACTCTCCTGCTGACAGAGCTACTGCTGCTCGTTGGGGTGGTTTAATTATGCCGGCGGGAGAGCAGCCACATGGGAGACCTTACAGCAGTGCCACTGCAGCGATAGGGCTGTGCCCCTGTAAGGTCTGTAGTGTAGACATAGCCTTGTAAAGTGGTCTTAATTCACAGTCATTCACTTTTTTCTGACTCAATTCTTCCTCCCATCTGACTTGCCTCATAATTGTTTTCAGCTTTGTGAAACTGGCCCTTTTAAAGCACCAAGTATTGATATCACTGGTCTGAACTCTATTCTGTTTGCACATTATAAATGTGGTAAGTCATGATCACTTGTGCCTAAGCTACCATTCATTTTTAGTTCTGTGCTCAGTTCCTCTTTAGCTGGAGAGACAAGGTCTCATATAGACTTCCCCATGTTGTATGCACCACTTTGAGTTCACAGCCCTTTTCGCTGGGCAAGGCTTTAGACCCTTGCCTTAGGGAGACTGGTATCATCCCCCCATTTTACAGTGAACAGGACTCCTGGCAATTAGGAACAGATGCCAGATGTCTAATATCCAGATCCAAGATTCAGTCACTCATCCTTTCAACTAGAGTCTGCTGAACCTATGCACTTAGCTCTCTTGGCTGTAACAACTGCTCTAACCACTCCTGTCCCAGGCTCAGAAACAGAACCCAAGAGTCCTGATACTCAACATTCTACTGCTGTGTGGCAAGCAATGTATTGTCCACTGATAAAACGTGTGTCACACACCCCTCTATTGGCTGATCCATAGATAGGATAACTGCCTACTACTGCTACCAGCAACACTTTTAGCTCCAGGGGCAAATATATATTAAATGCCCCAAAACTTCATTAATGCGGAGTTAAAGTTACCCAGTGATGCTTCCTGCCCTTCCAGAATGGGAACAGTGGCTAAACCTAAACTTTGTATTTTCTGATTTTCAGAGGTTAAGGTACATGCCAGCCCTGCAATGCAACCTTAACTGTGCCAGCTGCCGGAGTTGATAACAGCCACTGGGAATGGGTTAAAGGTTAACAAACTACCAAGGGATGTGGTGGAGTCTTTACCTCTTGATCTCCTCAAATCCAGACTGGACACCCTTCTGGAGGGTGCCGTAGTCAATCACAAGTTAGTCTCAGTACAGGAGTATCTGGATAAAAAGGCCAGAGCATTGACACAGGGTAATCTAGATTGCTTGGGAAGCTGGGCACAGGCAAACAAGACACATTTTTAAGTACCTACACGGGAACAGAAATTTGATACCAGAGGGCTCTGCACTCTAGCAGAGAAAGGTCTAACATGACCCAATGGCTGGAAGCTGAAGCCAGATAAATTCAGACTAGCAATAAGGCACACATCTTTAATAGTGAGGGTAATTAACCATTGGAACAACTTAACAAGGGTTGTGGCACGTATCTTAACTTTGTATTTCCTAGTTTTCAGAGGTTTCTTTGTTTAGTCTCTCTCCACACTCTGGAAGGATATGGGGCACTGCTGGCCAATCGTAACACCGCATTAAGGTTTTTGAGCATTTAATTTCTTTGTTTTTAAAAAGAATACTTTCTCTGCACCCCCATGTACTCCCACCCTCTTCACTGTCTCTGGCTCCTTGGCAATGATTATCCTGGCCACAGAACACACTGCTCCATATTAGTCCCTTCACTGTCCCTGCATCACCTCCTGTCTCTGCCTCTCCAGCAC